GTTCCGCTCAAAATCGGAACATACCGAAATGACACTCGATGAACTGCTCTCGGCAATGAAGGACGGATTTGACCAGCGGCCGAGCAGGGTGGATCGTCTCAAGAAATTCGAAGCACGAACGTGGCAGACGAACGAGTCCTTCCACAACTATTACCACGAGAAGCTTATTTTAGGCAACCTAGTGCCGATTCAGGAAGACGACCTGGTGGACTTTCTAATCGACGGGATACCAGACTCAACATTACGAAACCAAGCACGAATGCAAAATTTCAACGAGGTGAAGGACCTGTTGAGCGGATTCCGGAAGATCTCCCTCTCGAATCGATCGAAGAAGAACGCATCTCAAGGAGCTGAGAAAACGGCCGAGAATCCGAGTACGAAAACAAGTACTGAAACTAAGCCACAGAAGCCGAAGGTGATCAAAGAAGAGAAGAGCGAAAAACAAATCAAGTGTTACAACTGCAATCAGCCGGGACACGTAGCGAAAGACTGTCAGAAACCCCGGAGGGAACGAGGCTTCTGTTATGTCTGTGGCGAATTCGGACACATGGCGGCAAGCTGTCCGAGTAAGAGCTCGAAGGAAGGAGAGGAAGATCCGCAGGTTTCCAACGTCTACGAGGATCCGGAGGAGGAGGGCAGTGTTGAACACAGAAAGACAGTTACTTACGAACTAGAGGACTCTAGTGTACGGCGAGTATTATGCTTAGATACGCTCCTGGACACGAGTAGCCCCATTAGCTTTATGAAAGAACGTTTTGTTGACAAACGGGCTATTGTTCCATTAGATGCGTCGGATCGCGATTATTTCGGATGCAAGGGTGTAATGTTAACTTTCTTAGGTAAGGTTTACGCGACGGTGACAATAGACAACGATGTTAGAGAGAAACTCCGCATGTACGTAGCACCCGAGAATACGACGTTGACACCAGCATTAATAGGCAGGGATATTTTGCGAAAATTCGGGTTTCAATTAATAGTCCCCACGGCTGACGTTGTCAAACAGGAATTCGCGAATATTCTCATCATCGAAAACAAAGATAGCCGGGCGGATGACTTACAAATAAATCCGACGGTGCCCTACGATGCTAAAAGAGAATTAAAACAAATGTTTCGGGAATTTTACGCAGACGCTCCCAAACCGATAGAGCCTAAAACAAGGTCGGAGTTGAGGTTATGGCTAACGCAGACGGAACCATTTCACAGTACACTACGTAAACTCTCGTGTGACAGGCAGCAGAATATTAGAGTAATACTAGACGGTCTCTTGGAAAAGGGGTATATACGGGACAGCGACTCGGAGTTCGCATCCCCTATTGTACTCACGGAAAAAAAGAACGGAATGCTACGCTTGTGTGTTGACTATCGGGCCCTTAATAAGGTTACCGCTAGGGACAATTACCCGATGCCTCTCATCGAGGACCAATTAACAATTGCGGCAAACAAGAAATATTTTTCATTATTAGATTTAAGGGACGGATTCCACCATGTACGGATGGCGGAAGAGTCAATCAAATATACATCGTTTGTGACTCCATTAGGCCAATATGAGTGGCTGAGGATGCCTTTCGGACTCCGTACTGCACCAGCGGCATTCCAACGCTATATAAATCTCGCGTTAACCGAATTTACCAGGGCGGGCGATATGGCGATCTACATGGACGACATCTTGGTAGCGACCGAGACGCTAGAGCACCACCTGGAGATTTTAAAGCGCGTGTTTAAGACCCTGTCGGAAAACCATTTAGAGTTACGCATCGACAAATGTTATTTCTTGCAGACAGAAATAGAGTATCTCGGATACATGATCTCGGGACAAGGGGTGAGGCCAACGCGACGGGGAGTGGAAGCTATTGAAAAATTCCCTATCCCAAAGAACACACGAGACGTACGCAGCTTCATTGGACTCTGTTCGTATTTCCGGAAATTTATTGAGCATTTCGCGGCTATCGCCAAACCTCTGTATGATTTAACAAAAGCTAACGCGACGTTCAGGTTCGGGAAGTTAGAGTACGAGGCATTTATAACATTAAAATCTAGACTTACGGAAGCTCCAATTTTAGCAATTTACAACCCGAACGACTTAACAGAGTTGCACTGTGATGCCAGTTCGGTAGGTTATGGGGCGATTCTCATGCAGAGAAAATCGGACGGGAAAATGCACCTGGTATTTTATTTTTCCAGGCGAACGACCGATAAAGAAGCAAAGTTGCATAGCTTCGAACTTGAGACACTAGCTATAATCTACGCCCTGGAACGATTCAGGATTTACCTTCAAGGATTAAAGTTTAAGATCTTGACGGATTGTAGCGCAGTCACAATGACCTTGAAGAAACGGGACGTCAATCGTAGAGTCGAGCGGTGGGCAATCGCGTTGTTAGATTTCGATTATGAACTAGAGTATCGGGCGGGTACGCGCATGCGTCATGTAGACGCCCTTAGCCGGACTATTTGCGTAGTGGAAGAAGACCCCATGGAATGGAGTATAACTGTATGTCAGGGACAAGACTCGGAAATCTTGAAAATCCGGGATCAATTGGAGCGAGCGGAAAGCCAATTTTATGAATTAAGAAACGGGCTAGTTTATCGCAAGTATGATAATAAATTATTATTTTACGTACCACAACAAATGGAAAGAAATGTCCTGTATAAATACCACGACGAACTAGGCCATTTAGGGATTGAGAAAACGACTCAGGCAATCCTCGGGAGTTATTTCCCGAAGCTCCGTGAAAAGGTAAATTGTCATATTAAGAATTGCCTAAAGTGTATCACGTTCTCCCCAGTTAGTGGAAGAGCCGAGGGATTGATTCATTCGATACCTAAAGGGGACCTCCCCTTCGGCACTCTGCACGTTAATCATTTAGGACCAATTGACAAGAAACGGCCACTCAAGCCTCCTGGTTACGGTGGACTCTTTTACGAAGTTCGTCAAACTTTACGCAGTCAAAATAACCTCTAGCAAAGAAACGATCAACTGTTTGCGACAGTACTTCGAACATTACTCACGACCGGAGACAATAGTTACGGATAGAGGTAGTTGCTTTACGAGTACTGAATTCGAGAATTTCTTAAAGTATCAAGGGATAAAACACGTTAAGATAGCCACAGGGTCTCCGCAGGCCAACGGCCAGGTCGAGAGAATCAACCGGACTCTGACTCCGATGCTGGCTAAGTTGTCAGATGACGCGACAGGTAATTATTGGTATAAAATCATACCCGATGTCGAATATGCGTTGAACAACTCGGTAAGTAGAATAACGGGCGAAACACCCAGTCGACTGTTATTCGGAGTGAAACAACGAGACAGATCGGTGGATAATTTAGGAGAGCATTTGCGGAATGAGATAGAGCAAGAACGTTGCGATTTAGATGAAATAAGAACGAACGCGTCTGACCGGATTTTAAGATCACAGAAATATAACAAAGAATATGCGGATAGCAAGCGTAAAACGGCATACGATTATTCAGTAGGCGATTTGGTTTCCATTAAGAATTTTGATAACACGCCGGGAGCCGCACGAAAACTCGTACCGGTATTTAAGGGAACGTACAAGATCGCAAAGAAACTAGGCAACGACAGGTACGTAGTGACCGATGTGGATGGGTTTCAGAACACCCTCTGCCCTTACCGAGGGGTCTGGCAGGCCTCTAACTTACGACCATGGCGTCAGCAATAAGGGGAACGCCGCTTGGTTAAAGAGATCGATGTATAATTTAGCTAATAACTAATGTTAATCCATAATTATCATAAGTAAATAGTTGTGCAATCGCTTGTTTTGTTTTTATACTAAGTCCCGCTCAAACTCTCACCCAGTTATGTAAAACATAAATTCGAGAGTGTTGTTCCGTTATCTGGTCGGGACGACAGACGGTCAGAATTGGCCGAATGTAGCAGTGGAGGTTGGTGGCACTGCGAGAGCGGGCGTGAGTGTAGCAGGAGTGTAGCCGGAGAGGAAAAGTGGAAGAGAGAGTAGCTTGGGGCTGAGTAGTAGGATGTACGGTGTGTGTTAACAAGAGGCTGAATAAAGAGAAGTTTTTCAACAAAAAGAGATTTCCATCGTTCCTTTCTTATACTACACAATAGGATATACGTAAACGACATACGTAAAATCCTTGTGCGTTGACCTACGACAACGACTTACGACTACGACTCAGTTGCGACCATCTTTGTGCGCGGACCCACACTCTGTGTCGGCACATTTGATCTTTATGTCCTACTCGGCCATGTTGAAAATTGTGCGTGGCACCAATAAGAGCGAATAATTTTAGGGAACAGGGAAACTGATTGGCGCGCCATATTGAAAATTGTGCAGAATTGTGCAGAACGGTCGCCACTATTTTTAACTGAGCTAATTAAAACTCAGTTAAAAATAGTATCTATTGTTCTTACTTATATACTGTGACAGCGCAGCGTTGAAGAACAGATCGCGTGTGATTGGTGTACACATTCGGGTCGATCAATCCGATTAGTCCCTCGCGAGTGGCTGCGTTCTCCACGTGCACGTCGACTGGTCTCCCCAGTCACCATCTGGCCAGTCATCTTTCAGAACACTCCTCGGTATACTCACTCGATGGAAACTCTCCGTTCACCATACACGATATGATCTGTGAGGTGAACGTTCTAATATTATCGAGAAAGGTTCTCGAAGCGGTTGCGTGTAACGTAATGAAAACGCGTCGTCGATGATAGAACTTCTCGATCAATTCTGCCGTTTTAAGTTAGTTCTTTTTCCTTCGCCGTTTTTAATTAAATAAAATTAATACAGTTTCTGAACAAAAAAACAGGTCCGTACGATCTCTTGGAATTCTAAGAAGGATCGAATGAGAATAACGGGTCCAACGCTTCTTGATACCAGGTTTACATCTCGATTGGATACTTAAGTTTTTTAACAAGTATCCAAAGGGAAAAAGCGGGATATTATTTATTATCTCTTTCACGACCTTTCAATCCAAGTAATTTCGATTTTTAAATTAAATTTAATTTTGTAGATTTGTTCGCGCACCGCGCAAGTAATTGTCGTTCCGAACGGAGCACGTCTCGCGCTTGCTTTCCGAGAAATCTTAATCACGCTCCCCCGAAGCCCGAAGGTGGTTTTTAAATCGAGGGAATCCAGCCGAGGGGAGTCGAGGAGAGCGGATGATCGCGCGTGCGCGACTGTCAGATCGCTGACGCAAGGGAGTACGTCAGCTGTTTTGTTAGACTTTCGCGGCGGATAGACGTGCGTGTGCGTCCGTCGTCGTTGCCGTCATCGTCATCGTCGTCGTCGTCGTCGTTGTCGTTGTCTTCGTCGTCACCGTTGTTGCCGTTGTCGGGAATACTGTTGACTTGGAGGGGCATCTTTCTCTCGCGCAACTTTCGTCGTCGCACGGCAACGGGCTCTCGCGCACCTTTGTTCGCCGTGGTTTGCCGTACGCGCGCGTGAGAAGGACTGCGTGCGCGTTTCCGGGCGATTCTGCGTGCGACGGAGTCGTGCGGACGCGTTCGCGACAATCGCGATTCGCGTGTGCCGTAATCGGACTTGCATCGCGCTCACGTTCGGATATCCCTCTTTCAATTCGGGTGTTTTCCCGATTGATCCCGCGGGACCTTGGCCGTAGGTTTTACGCGTGGGAGACCGTGGCTACCTACCGAATGCGACAGGATCGGGACGTTCTCGCCCGCTCGCAGTGATAGCTATATTGTGATACATCGACGGAGAGAGAGAGGCATAGAGAGAGAGAGAGAGAGAGAGAGAGAGAGAGAGAGAGAAAGCAAAGAGAGAAAGAGGCGCGTAGAGTGAAGACATGGCACAGCCGACGAGCAGCGCGTTACGGGCGCTCGCCCTGGAGTACAAGAGCTTACAGGAGGAGCCCGTCGAAGGCTTCCGCGTCAAGCTGGTCAACGAGGACAACATGTTCGAGTGGGAAGTCGCGATCTTCGGTCCGCCCGACACTCTCTACCAGGGCGGATATTTCAAGGTACCCCGCTGTACCCCTCTGTGTGCTGTTTACGGTGTGCATAGGTGCGCGCGTGTGTATTTACGCGAGTCGTGCCGAGCAACGCCGATATCGATGGTGTTGGCTCCGCGTTTATACTAGTTTATACGCACCTCGTCGGTCCCTTCTTGGTTATGTCGCGCTTGTCTGCGCTTGCCTGCGCTTGTCTACGTCGCGTCCCGTTTCCCACTCCGTCTCCGAGGCCGAGTTTAATCGGTACTCCACGGAGGAGATTTCGTTCACCTCTAAAACGGTCCTCCTTATCCGCGTTATCGTCAAATAAACAAAGGCTCTTTGTACGAGCTGTGCCTTTTAAATATGTCGCATGGCGACTTGATACATATACATATATTATTCCACTTTTTACGATAAAACACGAATAACGCGTACGATACCTTAACTTGGCGCACAGTGTAACTCGACGTTATTGACTACTATCGTTTCGGTTTGCCAGTAAATCCATACGTATACAAGTACGGATTCTATTCTTGGTAGTGTGTTGTGGAATACTTATCGCCGTGTGATATCGCCAACATGCATTTGCAACACATGTTGTATCTATTCCATTTCGCTAATACTGAAAATATCTGATATTGAAAAAGGTAGAAAGTTTATTGTAAATTTAACGTATGATCGATAGATGTAATCGCAAAGATTACTGCGGTTGAATATTGAATTAAAAAATTATTAACGTTTGCACAGCTGAACTGTTTGTATTATTCATCCTTTGCAAACGATGTAATTCGTTAATAATTATTAATATTTCGACTGCTGTGGCTCACAAGACTACTTATCATTAGTTTGTGATTTATTCTTGGAGTCAAGGAAATACATTTATATGTTTGTACCTAATTAAAAAAAAAAATTATTTTCTTTAATTAAAAACGGCAGTCTAAATGCGTAGATTGTTTACGTCTAGACTGCGTTTCTGAAAACACTGTGGCTTATAATTTGCATTCTATTTTCATAAATCAGATATTTACATTTTGTGGTCTACTCTAACAATGAGTTATTTATTTGCTGTTTGGTCTTAAAAAACAAATATTTTTCAAAATAAATTTAGATGATATTGTCACATTGTGGACATCCAAATTTGTAAGACGAGGAAACAACAGTGTTCTGTCAATCGACGTCTATAATTAACTCGATAATGAAACGATTCGAATGATGTGTTTTATCGTCGCCAAATGTTTGCACGTGTGACAATGCGGATTTCGCTTCGCCGCATACAGCTCGAGCACCTTGTTTCCTATCCTTGAGCCAATGTTTATCTCGGAAACTAAAGCATTTTCCTGCCAAGTGAATTCTGACAATCGCACGCGAGTCATTGAGACTACCTTGATGATACCGATTGACGCGACAATGCTAGCTTAGACATCTATTCCCTTTTCTTAGTTGCCGAAGATTGATTATTCTTGCATTAAAGATAGGAAAGATAATAACCAGAATCACAGTTAATCAGATAATAATTTGGCTCTTTTGTTAGATTTGCAATATATATCGACATGTTCTGTCTTTTCTCTTAAAGTCACGTTTAAAGATGTTACGTGAAATGACGGTGAAAAATGTGTGAAATATGAATGCATGCACGAGAAAAAGATCGAAATGATTTTTCACTTCTGACGTCACGAAGCAGCGCGATTGCAGCGAGGAGGAGGCAAAAGGGGCTTTAATGCTCAGCCAGGTTAAACGCCAGACTGTAAAATGAGTTCTGTCATTGCTACGTCGCGGCTACCAAGTTTTTGCATGTCCCGTCCGCTTTCTAAACCACTCTCTGCCTCGTCGCGTCGTGAACGAGTGAACGCCTATTCACGTAACGCGCAACGTATCTTCCCACAACGTAACCGACAATAACGAGCGCGGCGTTTCTTGCAAGCCGTGTACACGATGTACATGTAAATCCCTCTTCGTGGTTATTTCGAAAGACTGCGTCGTCCACCCTGCTCCGCTCGAAGCACTGGATTAATCTATTATCCATTTTACCGTAATCGTGTTAGACCTTAATCGGTGAATGCTCGCGTTGCGCCGTGCTCAGGTAAACAATCGCTTTCATCTTACGCTGCGTTTGAGGTATCTTCGTGAATGAATAACTTTATGTACTATCGTTTCATTGTTTTAGAGGGATACGAAGTTTCTCGCCTTTATTATTTATGGACTTTTTCTGGTTAGTTTGAAATCAATTTTTTCCGTTACGAATATTTTCGTGATCGAACGGCTGATAAATTTAATTGTTTCGGGTTTTAGCTTTATAGATCAATAAGTTTCACATAATGCAAATTTATACAAGCCTTATTTAGCTTGAGATAAATTGCATTTCGCAGAATGCTAAAAAGGTAGCAACGTAACTATAACGGAATATAACGAGGCTTATCAAAGTCGCGAAAGAGCATTGCGTCGTAATACGTATCGATGATACGTTCAACGGAACGCTGAAAGAATTGCGTATGCACATAATCTGATCGGATCACGCCTCCTTCATTCATTTTTAATGATCACTGCCTTTTAAAACGAAGCGGAAAATTTCAATCTGACTTGGATTTATGATTGTGTATTCGAAATGTGCGTATGTTGGCACGCGATACCTAAATATCAATGTCTCTCTCTCTCTCTCTCTCTCTCTCTTGCATTTTAATAGCACATGACGGAGACATCGGGTCTCGTATAGTACTTTTCGGTCGTAACGACGATCCTGGGCGATCTTCTCGCAAGATTACGTTCTACTTATCGAGAGCCTCCCCTGTCCCCTGATCAAAATTTATGCACGGCTCGGTAAAAGGTAGCCGATACGGTTGCCAAGTTACATAAAATGCCATCGAGCATTGTCTCGATTCTATTCCTAGTGCAAGCAGCCAGGCCTTTACCGATCGGCACGGCCGACCAACTTTCACCTAATCTCATTCCGCTTAGATGATCGTGCGCCGGTTCGTCGTCGGTGCACGAAAAATCGATCCGCTATCTGACGAGCTCACGATTTTCGACGCAGCAACTTCGCCATTTCATTTTCCACCAAGTCCGTCTCGATCAGACTTTATCCTTTCACCTCGTGAAGAGATGGCGAGCATCCCGTTTCGCGAGTGCCACAACTTTTCGCGATAGTACAGCTTGGAATCGATAGTCAGTATACCGCGAATCTTTAGAAAGAAGTTGTGCTTGTTGATTTATTCGAATCCACGATTCTAAAAGGATAAATATTTGTTATATCTTACGCACGTTGAAAAAGTTAAAAGTTATTTTTATCTTCTTCTTTCTTCTCGTTCTCGTGAATTATTACGCGAAAAAACTTGATTATTACAAAAGAAAATACGGTAAACTTTTACAAGTTACAAATTACAGACTTTATCCGTATAGAAACGTACATAATTGTATCTGTGAAATTTATAAATTATCGAAAGAATTTATATCATAGTTTCTCTAATACATAAAAATGTTGACAAAAGAGCGATTGATTGAAATCGGATAATTATAATTAGATTTCGAATAAAATATTATTATTGCCTCGTCTCTCTCATTTCATTTTTAAGCTAAGACCAAACGACAGTCTCATTTAGAAAAATGCCTGATCGAATTGATTTGTCGTCAGGCATGACACGATTCGATAGTTTTAAAAGTTATCGCCTAGCTCACGTTACACAACGTCGCGTTACGATGACCACAGTTGCTTATTGTCGAAGTAGGTCGCGAAAATTTGTAGGTCATACGGTGGAGTTGCGACGAAAGACGTCGAGGTGATAGTTCCATTCCGGAGCAATCTGCACAAATCCACACGATTTATAATCTCTCTCTTCTGCAAAAGCGGTTTTTGAGACAAATAACTGTTATGACGTATAAAAATTCTAGTAGGATTTTACTGTAGAAATAGAAAGTTTGTATTAGAGACATAATTCACGGAATATTTCCTGACAATGGCATATAAGATTGCACGCTGATAATTGCAATCAATATTGCGGTACCACATTGGAAAACTTGATACATGCCTGTATTTATTTATTCCGATGGACGTCGATTATCAGTAAATAAGAATTACAGAAAAATTTCATTTTTTATAAAAAAAAATTAATAGTAAAAATTGAACATGTATACGGAAAGGATAGTTTTGTTAAAGTATTTAAAAATTTAGCTGGTTACAGATCTGAAGATAATTTTGTTGGATCATGTAGAACGCTTAAAATGATTGTTAGACTCTTTGTAGCATTGCTCATCATGCTTGAGATTCCTATGTAATTATTTTGATGGTCCAATAAAATTATTTTTACATTTGTCTAAATTTTTAGACACCTTAGCAGATTATTCTTTTCGTGCATTATTAATTGTCACGTTAAGAAGATGGAACCTTTTCAACCATGAGCCAGCAGTTCCGTTGTAGTTGAATAAGCAATTTCGGAAAATTGGCTGTAACAAAAATAGTTAACAACGAGACAATTTGCGAGTACACGTGGAGCAACGTGAATCAGTCCGAGTAGAATTTTCGTGACACTGTAAGCGTGTAGTCGGTAGAAAGTAGGTTAATTCTAGAACGCGGTTATCCCGGAGGACGAGGTGGATATTTGGGCCATGACCAGGTCGCGATCAATATAGCGTCCCCGACGACGAAGCCTGCATCGAACAACCAGACACCCCTTTCGCGCTTTGGAATAGAAATCGATATCGTCGCAAATTCCCTTGGAGATTCCGAACCCGATCGAAATGTCGAATCTTATCGATGTCGAAGCCTGCGCTCCGATTTTACATCTTGTCTCGTTACCTCTCGGCTACGTTCTAAACGGCCATGTTGCTCCACTTTTGTAGCATCGGAGAACTCCGATGTGTTTATTTACAGATCGTCTAGAGTGATTAATTTCTAGAGCGTTAATTTTTCTTTTTATCAATTTGAATAACAATTTTTTTTTTGCATAATGTAAGAAATAAGTTATTGTAGCCATTAGCCAATTTCCAACTTTGTACATCGTTATAAATAACGGATCAGAAAGTTTATGTGTGAAATTGGATCAGGCATGAGCTTAACAGCAAAAAGTTTGCGATAATTTTTCGAGGGCTCGCGTAAACAAGTACTAAAACCGGTACAACTTCGGTGGGTTGACTAATTTTGGTGGTGTACGCACGCGGGAAAATTTCCCACGTTGATCGTGAGAATAGAACCGACGCGACGCGACGGTCTTACTGGCGCAACGCACATTTTTCCGCACGTGCGTAGCGTTGGATATTGAACTCGCTGAAATTATAACGGTTTTCAATCCACCTCGATATACATATAGATACGTAAGCGTAGACTACGCGTGGGCGTCTCGGCGACCCGAAGCCGAGTCGAATGTCGAGAATATACTTTGACGAGGCTTAATTCGTTATGTTACAGGCACACATGAAATTCCCACCGGATTATCCGTACAGTCCACCGAGCATTCGTTTCATGACAAAAGTTTGGCATCCGAATGTATATGAGGTGAGTGAATATATACGAGAATTATCGATCCCCCGCGTAGGTACGCTCTCTCTGCCCGTTTCGACCCTTTCCTCTCATACGTGTGTACGTGCGTATCCTCCCTTGCGTCCCTTTTCCGTTCATCCATCCCCCTCTCTCACCCTGCTCTCGCCGCGCTCTCACCGCCTCTCTTTATCTTCCACCCTCCGCCGCCATAGCTTTTACAACCATCAGCTTTTACATCGTCACTTTCAGCGCTTGTGAAACCACCCGGGCCGTCCAAACCCCGGGCCTTCGTTACCATCGAGACGCAACGGGCGAACGGATGGGAAAGGGGGAGAAAAAAAACACACACACACAGAAAGTAAAAACGGCCAACTCGAAAAAATTGCACGTTACGTAGTAGTTCTCGCTAGAGGTTGCATTCATATTGACGTATCACCGCCACCACATTCTTGGAACGTGTCCGGTCATACTATATTTATCGCAAGCCACACGTCGTCGTTACGTTCGACGTTTGTAAAACTCTGAGATTCCTGTTCTTCCGCCGTATCCGTCGACATTGCGAATTTGCGCGACGATTAGCGGGAAAACGAGTTCAGCCGACGAGACAAGTTGGCACACTGCTGATAATACGCGACGTTTTTATGAGGACTGATCGTCGTGTTGTTTGCCACTTTAAAAGGTCGAAAGCACGACCGTTTCCTGTCTGTTACGCCAAAGTACTGCATTTAAACTTCGCTCTCGCATTCGTTCGTTATAACATCATCGTCCGCGCGAAATAAAACATCGATTAAAATGAGGTTTATTAAAATAACTTTTCGAGATCACACACACCCGCGTTCTTATGGAAGTATCACACGTAGCTAACTTGCTCTGGTGCGCGCGAGCAATAGTACAGCAAGTACAGGTATATAAAATATTAAGATTAGTAGAATATTTCGCGCGGACCGTATCATTCGGACCGTATCGTTTGAGATGGAAGTATTCAGCGGGGATTGGGAATGCATTTCCGCGTTCTTCTTACATATTGCGGTGGTATCGTTTGCGTTTGTACAAAAGTATCGCATTCCCACACCGCTTATCGACCTCGGTCGCCGCATCTCTTGCTCGCTGCGTTCGTCGTATATGACCCTTCGGCGGCTAGCGAAGCGAAGTCAATGACCGTCGAAAGCCCGCGTGGACATCCATGTCCACTCGCCCGTCGTTGATAGGGATGGTAACGACGAGAACGTGTTATGAGTAACGAGGCAAACACGAATACTTTTTTTTTTTTTTAAAGGTCTGGGCTGTCGAAGAGAGGATATTAAAGTTTGTGAATTGTGTAGACTAGTTACTCTCACAGTTACTCTCTTGCTTGCAAACTGGACACGTTTGTAGAGTATAGTATGAAATTAACTGTAAAATAACATAGTTTACACGGAGAAAATTTTATATTAAGTTTTAATACAATTTTAAATTACACTTTACTATGTCTTGTATTTCCGATGGACCGTCACAACATGATTCCGACATCATTTTTACTATGGTAATACTAATTTTTGTCACATAAATAAAGTAATTATTTTGTTAAACCAGTGTTTAAGCCGTATTCTAACATGAAAACTAAATTTTTACTATGGTACGCAAACAAAATTTGCTAGGTATATATTTTTTACTTATCTTTACAATACTAACTTTTATTCAACAAGTTTTGATTTTGTAATAAAAAATTTTTACTATGAAAAAGTGTAAAAATTACGTTGCATTATTGTTTTTAAAAAAATAACTACAGCATTGAAACTTATAATTTACATGATAGTCGTCCGCAGCTACTACCACATTATAATAATTTTAAATATAAAATTTTCTCCGTGTATGTGTGTGTGTAGTATGGAGAAACACGAATACGAATATAAAATTAAATATTTTAAATCCGGTATTTTAAATCGTCGTTTACTTCCTATCTCAATTCGAATATCCAAAATAGTTGACCTGTTTGCTAATCGATTGATAAGCCGAACAACTTATCTTTATGTAACCGTAATTATGTATATTGTATTTTTTACAAATACGGTATTTCTCTTTTCTATCATACATCTAACGCTAAATGTCCATTTTATTTGTATTCCAGTACATTTAAATTCCAAATATATAGCAAAATCTTGTTACTCTGTATACGTCGTCTTTATTTTTTTCCATAACGCGTGATCATAGCGAAGCCACTAACTGTAAAGTGAAAATCAACGATCTCTATATCCAGCGAGGTAGACCGTAAAAGTAGTAACTCTCGGTTATACAAAGGAGATTAATCATACGCGAAGAGTCGACTTATCTCGCTTTTTCTTCACCGCGTGAAATTTTATTTCGATGATAATCTGCGCATTGCGCAAATTCTCGAGAAAACGGCACTTACTTCAATATGTAGAGGTCTTTCGCAATCGAAGCAGACCGTCGTAGAAGGTTTACTCGATATATACCGCATGGCTTAACACGTATACGGTTCGCTCTTCTCAAGCCCAACTTTCCCCGTCGTGAAATTCATATTATTCGTACGCGTGTGTATCTTGTACGTTACTCGAATCTTCCCTTTCTTTCTTTTTCGTCGGCACGCAAATCCAGTAATGTGTGCAGTAAATACGGTAGACATTTTACATACGTAAAGAATAAGAGGCAGCGGCATTGTTTTATTTAGCTTCGTGTATATAAAATATATGCAGAGTGCTTTTGTAATAAGCCACTGAAAATACCTGCTATTTCTAGTCTAGAGTCAATTTCATTGTTTTTTTTCCACGCTTTTTCTTTGCATTTTGTTTGCGTGTAGCTCTCGATATATAGATCTCAAGTGCCAATCACTTCCACCGGTAACACTTTGCGCGATTCTGCGTCGTGTACTCGTCGGCTTATACAAATGCATGCACAGATACAGCGATGCTATCACCGTCGGAGCGGTCGTGTCAAGTGCCGGGCGTTTACTCGCGAGAAGCTCGCCTTCGCCTTCGTGGCTTATTACGAGGTGTTCGAGCTACGGTGAAACCACGGTGCGCCTTGTCCTACTTGCCGAACGTCTTCACAGGAGAGACGAAAGATAGAAGCGATTCTTGTGAGAAAACGTCTGCAGCGAGTTTTCTACGATTTTCATAATGCTTGACACGCGTTTGTAGGACGGCCCCCAAGACCTATGTTTTTTTTTTACTTGCTATACGTAGCCTTACTAGACTTCTCGTATATTGATAGTTTTGTTCGACTCCGATAACGTATAATTTTGGTTTAAAAAAAGTCATATCTCTTCTCCGAATATGGTATAGAATGACGGTGACCTCGGCGACTTCTTTTCACGTATCGTAAAGGTACATCCGGAGGTCTCGTCCTTCGAGCAACGATGTCTTCTCAGGGACGAGAAACGCGGAACCAGAAGCACCGAGGTCGCTGTGTGTTTGGCGAAAGGACAACAGAATGAACGCGAACGCCGCATACACAAATTCTTACACATTCACGGGCTCTTTTTGTTTAAATAACAATAAATATATTTAAAAATGGCATATAAAAATGTATATATGGACTATCTTTTTAAGTTGACGCGAGCATCTTTGGGCTCATCTTAGTCTTTTAACGATAAATTATTCAGCATTTATGTAAGCGAATAAATACAAAAATACAATTTGCGTATACTTCCGAAAATAACATACGTAAATTTCATTGCGCAAAACAAAGTGATATAAGGTCTGTTCTTTGTGATTACTAATGTACACTTATTAGCACTTATTGTTTACACTTAAAACGAAATATACATATTTGAAGTTTGGTGAAAGCGAAGGTAAAAAATTTTAATGCAGTCCAATGCAACGACAAAGAACAATCTTATTATATTAATCGAATAAGAAGGTGAAGAATTAAATGTTAGGAGAATTAGTATAAAAGGCTTATTTCTTTCTTTGTATAGAACGGTGATCTGTGCATATCAATTCTGCATCCACCCGTAGATGATCCACAGAGCGGTGAGTTGCCTTGTGAGAGGTGGAATCCGACTCAAAACGTCAGGTGGGTGCACAGTGCTGCAAGGTCCGAAAAAAAAGGAACAAGTGGAAATTGTCTGTGATTTAACAATAATTCTCAAAATTGAACATTTGGAGAAACACATCGAAAGAAATTTCTGTTAGAATTATTAATCGATTGTGTCTCTCATCTCAGGACTATCTTGCTGTCAGTGATCTCGTTGCTGAACGAGCCCAACACGTATAGTCCAGCCAACGTTGACGCATCCGTAATGTATAGACGTTGGCGCGATTCCAAAGGAAGAGACAAAGAATATGAAAATATTATAAGGTAAGATATCCTTAATAATGCCGTTGCGTGACATCATCACGCGATTGCAAGAAACTTTGCGCATTTTCGTTGGAATTGTACCGCTACCGGATCCATAGCGTGCTAAAAACTATGACAACTGTGCGAAACAGATAACTGCGGAAACGAGAATGTCGGTACAACGTAAATATATATATTTTAACGCTAGAGCGACTATGTAAACTTATCTGGGAAAACTAATTCTTCTTCTAATTATATACGAAAATGAAAACTGTAAACTGTTTTTTTTAACAATTATATTAATTTATTTGTTATTAAGAAGATATTGTTTAGAAATAATAATAATTTAGAAATAACATTTATACTATAAATAATAATTATTACATTGGATTTCACGCTAAAGTCGATTAATTGCTCTCTAAAACTTTGATATCTACGAATAAAATATTTGTTAGAAAATTCTATATCTTCTAGCAAGCCGCAAAAAGATATTTAAAAAACAAGAAATTCTCAAGGAAATTTTAGATATATTTTAAAAATATATTTAATTTTTCATTTGATAGGCGGAAGATTGGTCACAACCAAGGTAGGTATTTTCTCAATATATATCTCGTTTATGTTTTTTTGTTTAGGAAACAAGCTCAAGCTGCCAAGATGGAAGCCGAAAAGGAAGGTATTGTCGTGCCTGTAACTCTGGAGGATTATTGCATAAAGACTCGAGCGAGGCCGGCCGAACAACAACTAGATATGACGGACTTCTACGATGACGAGTACGAGTTGGATGATGATGAGGATGAGCAGTTGAGCGCGACCGATTACGAAGATGGTGATGATAGTGGTAATGGGGAATCGTGATCCATTTCTTAAATGATAATAAAAACCCGCGAATCGCTAATTATTATATATCAGTTCTGTATAGATTAATAAATTAACGAGCTTCTAAACCGGACGATCTCTGTTTTTCCTTCTGGATATCAAAGTTTAAATAAGTATTTTTTTTAATCGAAAATTAATAAAATACTCTAAGAAAAATTTAAATAAGATTACGAATATGTCTCTCTTAAGCCATCGTCAATCATTGTCATTTATGTTTTTTTTTTAAACAAATCTATATGTATAGCCTATTCAAACTTTATATATAAACAAAAATGTTTATGATTTCTAAAAGTTCTATTGTTGAATAAGATATTCTATTTAACGGTGGTTTATGAAAGATAATATTCTTCAACTCTCGCATTACCAAAGTATTTGTTGGACAGCGAAAACCGTATCATTATGTAATAAAAATTTTTATTTTATTATGGCGTGTATTTAAAAAATTTCATTATTCACGTTGTGCATATATAATATATTGAATATACATGTTAAGCTATATTTGTTATATGTATTACACAAATGCGCGGTATAGGTATTACACAAATATTTAATATAATATTTAATATAATACTTTATAGAAACTCATTATGAAACGTGTAAAAAATTAATGGAATTAATTAAGAATGACACCAGTTTTCGCTGGGCGAGAGTTAATAGAAAGATTGGAATGTTAATAGCTGTATGAAGTTATGGAGAATTCCGTGTTTACAAGCTCTTTAACTTAAGCAATATGCTACGGCGCGTGCGCGCGCGCGCAAGATATGGATATAAGTACTATGGATAGGAGCACTTTGCTTGTTGTGTTGTGGCTGGCACTTTGATCTTTTAAATAGGAACGGACCAATTGATTTACCTTACAATGACAAACGTTCGATAAAAATAATCATACGTAAGTACTATAAGTATACGATTGATTTTTTTTTATATTGGACATCTAGTTTCACATCTTGTTTAAAGTTGTAAATGGGTACATCAATTGATCCTAAGTATAATATCTATATATTTAAAATTTGCATTGTTTTGAATAATTATTTATGTTATGATACAAAAGAAAAAAAAAACTGTCAGGGGAAGAATTCAATTTAGTGTAAGAGAAAATAAGCTGCCGAAGAAGACCTGTTAAAAAATTATCAGTAATAAATTTTGCATCTCACACACTAGGATTCATGTTATACATTGATATCATTAATTATATTTATATATGTATGTGCATCCATATATCGATGTAATCATACTGATATTTTCGCCGTATTATTTTACTGAATTACAAAATGAAATTAACAATAATCATGTTTTTATTTCCTCGCGAGTCTGAATGATAAACTCATTCATGGCTTTAAAAATGAATAACTTTTGCTACATTTTAATTTTAATTATAAATGACATTAAATGTCATGAAAAGAAGAATTTATGATGAAACTTATACGCGCATAATACTACAGCCATCAAAGTTACTTTAGTTTATATAATTTTCTTAAAGATCTCTCTTTTGCTATATCATCTTTCGTAAGAGGAACTAAAACTTTCTAGATGAAATTGGTTAAATGTAAGCTTACTATTTAAGTGAAAGGTATATTGGATACAAAACTAATCGATTCTGATACTGTATCTGTGCTCGTATGACTGAAATTGTAAATAGTAAATACGTGAAACTCAATTTTAATGACACAAAATATATAGGTGGTACTCTTTTACTTATTTCTTTATTAGTTATTTCATTGAAAGACCAATATCGGATGTTGAAAGTGTTTAAATGATAAAATGAAAGCAAGAGGACATTTTTAAATCCCAATAGCTAAGCATATACTCTGCGCTTGTAGTAGTATCGTAACTGAAGTGAATATTCCCTAGTTCTTTCGAACGTACTGTAAAATCTTTTCTCATTTCATGTTTTTCTTATATAGCTATTTATAATAATAGAAAACATACAAAGTACTGAAAAAAAAAAAATAATTTATATACTGCATAATTCTTTCCTTCTCTTTTTTGTACATAAAAGTTTTTCTTCGTACAAATATTAATAAAATTAGCGTAATACTATCACATATGCTTTGTCGATAATTTAGTGAATATGGGTAATAATGTCAGGTAATGTTAATCATTTACTATTAATTACCTTTTTCACATGATGATAGGCTAATGTGAGGAAATATGTGTAAATACATTTTATTATGGCAAAAACTGGGCTTTTTGTGTATCTTCTTAATTACTATTATATTCCGCACATCGGTAAATAATGAGGCGATAAATATAAAAATATGGTTTATTCTTCACACAGCTGTACATGCACAGGATAATGAGATTATAAACGTTTCCATATCATCTTTTATCAGTACAAAAAAAAATCGCGAATTGCTGACTATTATAATCGAATTGTAGAGGTAGTTGTGAGTGAACGTTTTTATCATGATGTAGATCATCATTTTTTGTTCCGCGCATATAGGACAGAAGGCACATCGAAATTGCAAAACAACTTTGTTCTTAAAATAAAAATACACAATTTTTTTTAATTTGAAACGAAATATATGCTGTATTAAACACGCTTCATAACGAGTCAGTATGTCGACTAATTGAATCCTGTGCATACGATATGCAGCTTTCTGATAGAAAATGTTAATAAATACAAGAAAACATGAGAAGAAACAAAACTGAAAACAACATAATATTATCGACGATATGTTGGTGGGACATTCACAAGCTTTATCTTACGGCTAGCATCATGTCTAAAAATTATTTAATAGCTTATTTTGAACGATATTAAACTGAGATTATTGTCATGTACGATTATGGACGGTTGTTTAACGGGATTGTTGATGAGCCCAGCACTTCGAGCAATAATATTGGTTTTCTGGCGATCCAAAGAATTGGCAGTGTTCACTGCGGCACTCCTTCACGGTGCCCTGTACAAATGGCAACTTTCAATTAACAGAATTTATAATTTTTCCTTTTTTGAAAGTTATTTGACATACCTTTAAATGGTCACTATTATTCCAAATCTCTGGCCCCGTATTACTTGGTGGAGTTTTATCAATAAAAAATGTAGATCTGTGAAAAAAAAATGTTAATTTATTTTTCATGATTAGATATAGCGAAGAGAGTCTAGATTTTGCAATTATACCTCGAAAGATAAAGCGTATGATTTTTGTTTGTGTTAGTAGGTAATAGTTTGTTAACGCTCGCATGACTATCGCGATCACTGGCAGCGTAAAATTTGGACTTGCCGGCACCGTAATTTAGTTCACTACCTGTGTCATCCACCTGATGATCTTGTAGATATCTGCAACATGATACAGCAAATCGATGTAAGTATGATCTATACTCTTCTGATTTATCGAATAATCAAAGTGGAAATACCTTGCATGAGCACACTGAAGATAATTTTGAAGCATTTGATCCACATACTGATGACGTCTACTCTTTATTCTCACACACAACAAGCCTTCTGTCGAAACTCCACCGCTGGTAGAAGGCGGGCTCTTTGGCCTTTTGTTCGTCATAGACCATATTTTTTTACTGACAGATTTACCGATAGAACCGAATTGTTTCGCGACCTCTAACAATTGCTTCGCGGTTTTTGATAAAGAACCATCGGAATCAGAAAGCCTGTCGATATCTTCGGACGTGAAACTTTGATACTCGCAATCTAAATACTGTCGCAACAAAGCCTCCATCTGCATACAAATAACAAAATGATTGACCGCGTTACCAATAATTTAATACTTTGTCAACAATATGCTAAATGTATGCAACGAGATCTACTTACGGTATCCTGCGTACAAGTTAACAATTCTCGTGAACCATCAATCCAATCCCAATCAGGACCAGGATCCACGGCAAATAAGACTGGTAACAGTTTGCCTGTGTCTGGATCTACTAATGGTATACTAACTCCTTCACCGCAAGAGTTACCATAATCATTGCAGCCATCTACAGTTACAAGCGGGGAGAAATGAGCAGAATGATATGCCAAGAGTAAGGGTGTTCTGTGACAATGCGAAGGCGGTACTTCCAGAGGTAAATACACTCCACCGAATGGAATCGGTGCTAAAGCTACTCCATCCGCGTCCTTCAACATAGTTTCTGCTATAACTATTATAGGCCTTCTTAAGATATGAGCCAAGGTTAACACGTGTATCTGAAATCAAAGTATAGATTGTATATCTAACTAAAATAAAAGTTGATAGTCAAAGAAAAGATGTAATACTTCTTCGAGACTCTGATAAGAGGTAGCAGTCTGATTTCTGATTGTAAGAGATGCCATATCCACTATACTTTGCCATTCTGATAACCATTCCGCTTCCGTGTATGATAATCCAGCCGCTTCATTTAGACTCGTTTGTCTCCACTTCCATCGTCTAATAATTATGGTATTGGATAAATAGGTATCCCAAACATTTACTCCTCTTTTAAAATTAATATTTTCTTATTTTATACCTGAAAATTGCGTGTCTGTATTCTCCTTTGGTCAAAGTATTATGCAATGCCTCTCGCAGAGTAAGTAATCTATCATGAAAGCCCCACATTCCCAATGACGCAGCGTGAAGTAGACAATTGCCATCTCCAGATGTTGCTAGTGGCCAAAGAATTCTAGTGCTTCCACTTTTGTACCACCAGTTTAATCGACCTGCAGCTTCTAAAGAATTCAGGCATCCATTCTCTATCAGATCCTTCTCCAAGAATTTACGAAACGAATCTAGATATAAAATATCAATCAAAAGTTTGCTAATGTTAATAAAAAATAATTAGGATACATATTATATTCGAGTAAAGAAAAATACCTGGATATACAGACAAATCTGGCAATGAAAATGTGAATTCTGGTGTATCGAGTGTTCCTAAGGCTGCCAATTGTAAACGAGCATAAGAAACAATCGCTGCATTTTCAGTTGCACGGGAGATACCTCTAGCTAGTTTTTTTGTAGCACCCGTAGTGCTGCCCAAGCCATTATCAGGAGGACTCTCGCTCTCCAAGCCACTCTCCAAGCCATCGTACATGGATAAACCGGCACTCATAACACAGCTGTCCTGTCAATCAATACAAAAAATGATCTTATGTTAAGAATGAGTCATCAGTCATTAGTCATTTATCATGTCAGTTTCAAGTAAAGAATAAATTGATCTACTGCACATATAATTGAATTAGATTATTTATTCCAGAACATTCCAATACTATTGCAAATACATTATAATATTTGTTCTTGTAAATTATTAGGCCAATTAGATAATCGGATAACCTATAAAATTTCAGATTAATCCAAAAATGTCATCAAAATGTATTTAATAAATTCTGAGCGCACTTCTCGATATATCACATTTGTCAATTTTTTTAAAAAGAGAATAAGTAAATAAAAATAGAAATATTTAACTGTTATAATTTTCAACATTAAATTTTAATAATTGCATTATC